TTTATGTTCCTATTTTCATACTTTAGTTAGAAGATCCAAATACCATGAGGCAATACTATACTGCTATGGTAGCGAACATTTCAAATGCATGTTTGACAGGTTTGTGAGTGTACACTTTATCCAAAACCTGGTGAGGTTACCCACATAGCAACATTGGTATGGCCCACACATGGGCCAGCACAAGGCCAGGTAGACACGCTTGTGGTCCTGTGAAAAAAGCTGAGGTTTTCTTGGTTGGATGGTCTAGAGCAGGGGTCTCAAACTCGCGGCCCACGGGCCACGTCACCTCTACTTGCGGCTCACATATTGACATGAAGAAATTTTTTTTAAAAATTATTATTCAAAAAATTTTTTCAAATGAAGGCAATAGGCAGAGTGTTACAGGCATAGCCCTAAAGAATGTAGCCTCATAGGCAGTGTAGTCCGTGCTGCAGGCAGAATGGACTGCCATACCCATTATGTGTCTGTGAGCGCAAGGGAGGGAGAAAAAGGAGAGTCGAAAAGTACGAGCTGTCACCAACCAGAAACGGGAGCTGGAAGCATGTAAATATAATAATAACAACCACTGCAGCCAAGAAGAGAGCCTGACGAGCCCAATTGTAAGTAAGCTATTAAGACTCGACTGTACACTGTGTTCGTGTTTTCCTCCAAAACAATAAGTTCAGTTGGAGCAGCCTTTCAACACCTCTCTCTGTCTCTCGCTAGCAAAGTTGACCCAGACAGTAAAGCTATTTTTCGGCTATGAGCCTGACACGTAACCCAACATATTAGCCAGAGGTCCTTTTACTATGGTTCGGAGCCGCGGACCTGGCCGAGGTAACAAGAGAGTATAAACAAAAAGAAAACAATTTTCACTAACAGTCAAAAACGAATGTGTACACTTATGTCTGCATTTTTATTTAATTAAATACAAACAAAATCATAGCAGAAGTGCTGCCAGGTGTCTGGCCAGAAAGAGAGGACCAATTTGTTTATTTGGCAGTTCAATGAAAGGCTTCAGTTGGTTAAGAGTGAGAAAGAAAATTGCGTTAACATTTGCAGTTTTGTCTTGTTATTGTCATATGAAGGCTGTGTGCAGGCAGGGATGGTGCACCCAAAGTGCAGACTCACGGAAACAAAAGGAGAACTTAAATACAACTTTAATGCTGGATGGCAAAACTGAAAACTGGTTGCATAACAATACAAAACTAACCTAATCAGGCTAGCAGACAGACAGAACACACAGTAAAAGATGATGGTAGATCGTGACACTGACACAGAGAAACACAAGGCTAAAATACACAGAGGGAGCAATCAGGGAATGGGTAACAGGAGGGAAACACAGCTGGCCTAACAAAAATCAGGCCTAACCAGATGGGGGAAGCAAAACCAAATACATTAACATAAAACATGGACTTTCAAAGTAAAACAGGAAACATAACACAGAGACACAGACTTGACACGGGGATACAGCAGACAGGGGAGACAGTAACTATGGATCACAGTCAGAAAACCAGAACACTAAAACTCAAACAAAACCCACACAGAGAACCTAAACTAAAAATAATCCTATAACCCATAAGACAAAGCTAGAATATAATGAAATAAACAAAATCAAAGAACCAAAAACCCAAAACAGGGTCAACGACCCAGGGACCCTAACAATATTTGAAATTTGAAAAAGCAAACAAAACTGATTTCAGGAAATATTAGTGGGTGTTTTCTGTTTTGTTTTGTTTTTTTTCTGTACTACTTGAACACACTGTTAAAAAAAATTCCGTTATAAAACGGAAAAAGTGCTGGTAATTAATTACCAGCACTTTTTCCGTTATTGTACGGGCACTTCCGTAAACCTTAAAACGGATATTTCTGTAGATTTACCCGAGTTTTTCTGTACCATTGACGGACATTTCCGTCAAACCTAAAATGGAAAATTCTGTATTTTCCATAAATTTCGGCGTTATTGCACAGACAATTCCGTAAACCCTATAACAGATATTTCCGTAGATTTACCTGACTTTTTCTTTACCATTTACGGACAGTTCCATCAAACCTAAAATGGAATATTTCGTATTATTTAAGTACTCAATCCATACCATTTACGGACACTTCAGTCATCCTAAAATGTTTAATTCTGTACCATTCTCTATACCGTTTACCATCAATAAAGCACAAATGTAGAATCACAGCAATTATTTATTTCCTTTAACAGCTGCCAGTGCTTTAAAGTGATTTCACTTTTTGTGGTGAATGATTTGCAATATTTACACTACAACCATTAAAACATTCAGAACATCACCTTCACATTCAGAGAAATTTTACATACATAAACCAGCTGTTTTCTCAAAGAAGTACAGCCATGTCCTTTAACAGGGAGATGCCAAATCTAGCAACTTTTTAGCATCCACAGGCTGACAGGCATTAATAACAAATTGATTTGTTAAAGACAATGACAAAATAAGACAATAAAACTGCCAGCATTGCTGTTGCTGTCTCACCTGTCAGTGCAAAATGAGGAGCCCCCTCCAGGAGGATGCAGAAACCTACACCTCCAACTCCACATATCACACCGACAGGCAGAGCTCTGCAACCAGTGGCTGACCTTTCTACAAAAAACAAATAGAACATTAGAAGTATTACATTATACAACTTTTCTATAAAACATCAGTGCAGCAATAACAACCATGACCTTAGAAGGATGACTGTGCAACATGCCATAAAGAGATTTTTAAAACTCTTAAAACAACTTAAAACTAAAAAAAAATTAAAACTTACACCTCCAACTCCACAATGACAGGAAAAGCTTAACTGGAATGACAAATATCGCCCACCTTCCCTCCCCTTAACATGGGGGATTTGAAACTGCAGCATGTGTGTTGTGGGCATCTAGTTAAAACATCTGAACTCACCTAATACTGTAAAAATCTGTATTTCTACTCCCAAGCCCCATGTTTTTGGATTTGCCTTTGTGTGTGTGTGTGTGTGTGTGTGTGTGTGTGTGTGTGTGTGTGTGTGTGTGTGTGTGTGTGTACATTCAGTCCAAAAAGGTATTTTCTGAGCTCTGAGAACAGCTCAAATGGCCCATTCAGATTCCTTCTGCTTGCATTCAAATTCCTTCAGCTGAGAAACCAGCTTGCACACCTGTGGAGGAATGAAGTGCCGTTTCTTCTTCTTCCCCTTCTTCTCTGCCTTGGAGCCTCGCTCAGGATTGACCCCAAAGAAAACTCTGAGGGAAAAAAAAAACAATAGTGATATGCAGACAAAGTTTGCACATGTAGTGTGGCTTGACAGGAGTGGAGCAGTTCAATAAAATCCTACATTTGTTTTCTTCAATATGCCCCTATGTGTGAACCTCTCTATCATTCTAGTTGACCATCTGTCTAGAACCCAATGTTGTTGTGGTGCTGGTGCCAGTGGCTAAGCTCTCTTCCTTTGTCTTTTCAAGACACATGCATTCACACTGTGCATATACAGAAATGTTTGCAAGGGTGAGAAGTCTGCTTATCACCAACACATGACAGCATGCATCCTCAATGTGTATGCAGGGATATTATAAATGCACAGAACACAGAAGGGGATAGAAAACACAGTTGACATTGTCCTATCAAAAGGTGTAACAGCACATTTGAACACGGACTGTCCTGGGGGTTATTCAAACATGGAGTGGAGAAACTGTGACATTCAGTGCACGTTACACATCAGTACAAGTATTAACATTTGGGCATGAATCCACTATGTAGTATTTTTTAAATTAATATGTTTAGTCTTTCCTTCGGGGGGGGGTCCCTGGAACAACATATTTTGAGTTTGGGGTCTGCAGCCAAATAAATTTCAGTTTGTGTGTCTTTGACATGAAAAGGTTTGACCACCACTGACATAACCTGGTCTCAGGTGCTAATGGTTTTAAAGAGATAGCTCAAACGAATTTTGTGTCAACAAACCATTCTGAGAAAAATATGTTTTTGCTCCATTTCCCAACTGGAATCATGTTATGTTTGTTTTGTTATTGATTGACTTAGGACACTATTTAAAGCAAAAAGCATGTTACCTGCCCTTTAAAAAGATATGACACATTTATTCCAACAATAGTCTTCAACAGGGAGCTACAAAATCTCTGAACAAATCCATATTCAGGGGGATCATAAGCCAATAACAGCTGATCTAAAAGCTCACAGCATGTGACGACACATTTTGAGCTTGTACATCTCAGACAAACGGGTTTAGTGTAGATTGACAAAAAGCAGGTCAGGTGCAGAAAGGCACGGCAAAGTCACATTTACAAAGTATTTCCAAACAATGAGTGCTTACCTTTGCATGAATTCGAGAGTAAAAGCCATCTCCGGTGGGTATTGGACGTTGCAGACATAAAACATGGAGAAGACGTAGCTCAAGGCCACAATGGGAGAGGTGATGTGGTCATTGACAAGTAACCCATCAACAGCAATCTTGAATTGCTGGTCACCTTAAACACAGATAAAAACCATGTACCATTTACAAAAAAAAAAAAATCCTATATTTTAAGGCAAGCAAAACATTTCTTTAATAAATATGACACAACAACAGCTTATAACAACAGCTAACAACAGCTTGCTGGGATACAAAAAAAGATTTAACTACAAACCTCTGATTAGGATGCACTGGGAGTTCGACTTCAGGATCTGCAGAGATCTGTTTTGGTGACAGACATGATACATGAATTAATGTTTCCAGTACACACAAACCTGCTGGCAAATTGACTATCTGCTAGTGTCTTCATCAGACAGAGGTAGCCATTATGCAAAAACATTAATGTAAATAGTTTATAGATAGAGAGTTTATAGAGAATATCAGCAGCACAATTAGGGGAATCTATACTTCCTACTGTGGTTGGTTACTTGGTTCACCACTGGATGCAAATAATTATCTTGCACACAGTTTAAAATCTACAACATCTACCTCTTTTTTGTGGAAGAGTTTATAAGAGTCTTCCTTGAAGTATTTTGAAATGCCACAGATGAGCTGTATTGGACCTTCGCCCATCTTCATCCCTTTGGAGTCAAGGAAGTCATTGATCCCTTTTCTTTTTTGGAAAGTTCCTGTTCAAGGTTCAAGGTGTTAATTTTGTACAAGTACATAAGACTAACACTCATTTTCGTTTGGAGCTATGGAGAGAATTTTGAAAAAAATAAAAATAAAAATGAATTATTTCATTTTCATTTGCAACCTGTTCTGTTTTGATCTCAAATGTCCTGCTTTTTGGTTGTCACTTCCTGATTTTTGGTCTCAAATCTATTCCATTTGATTGTTCATCCAAGTTATTCTATTTGATTGGTTGCCAGTTTATCTTTTTTGGTCTCAACTCTCTTTTTGGTTGCAAATCTTTTTCTGATTGATTAATAAAGACAAAATTCTCTCCATATGGAACAGCACAGCACAATCATAATAATAACAATAACAACACACCTGTGCCAGCTTGTTTTGTACAGAGAAGCCAAGGAGTTTAGATGCATGATCAAACAGGTGAGGAACTTCAAACAGGAACGGCCACTCGTCCTTTACAACGACAATAGTGGTATCATCATCGTTGAGGATTTCACGCTGAATGGGATATGTTTCAGTCATCAATTTTCGAACAGATGACTCCTAAAGATATGAGGCAGTTAGACAAACAGTCGAACAGTTAGTCAAACTAACCAATTAAAATAATAAAACAGGGTATCAATTTCAATTGACTATGGGCATAGTGATCTACAGACGATCTACAATTTCACAATGTGTCCTAAATTGTACTTGGACCCAGACCTTATCGCATTACTCCTGCTATATACTATTGCTGTGTGAATGGTTGTATGTCTAGATGGTGGACTGTAGGAACCGAATTGCCCTTCGAGGATTAATAAAGCTTTCTGTATCTGTAATGGATGATTGCAGACCCACCTGAAGATCCTGGGTTTGAAAGGCACGTTTCAACTCATCTCGTTTAGACAGCAGGTCTTCTCTACACACGGCCCCCTCAATGATTGGATCCCACGCCACACATCCATACAGATCTGAATTCCTGGGCCTTTTCTTTGTTGAATTTTCACCCCCTGCTTGCCTCTTCAGTGAGCTTTGTGGCCTCTTCATATTTTCAATTCTGTGTTCCAGCTGACGAAAGAGAGTTTCAGAACCATCTTTTGCAAAAGGTTTGTTTCCAAACGGCTCTGTCAGCTTGAAGGAGGCAGGATATTGTCCTACAATCATACTGGCGAGTTCCCTCAGCTTTTGTCTACCAGGTCTTCCTGGGTGTTTATGGAGGTAATCTTCAGCGACGATCCGAACCATCTCTCGTCTGTCTTTCCCCATTATGTACTTTTTTTCACGCAACTCATCCATGACTTTTGAGGGAAATTTGTGCCATGGTACAGAATATGCGTCTTGGGATGGGGAGTCGGCTGTCTCAGGTGGTGTTGAGGGCAGCTGAAACCTCTGTGGTTCAGGTGTTGATGAGGGGCCAGGCCGGGTGAACTGCGGTGGAGTTTGTGAATCTATGGATGACATGACAAACATCTCCATAAATTAAACACATCACAATTGTTGCAAATCAATTAATACATTGGTCCTCAATGTCCAGTTTGGGTCAACCAGGAATACAAATGGACCTAATTATGAAAACCAATTATAGAGTAATTATTGCCATGTACAGCTGATGGCAACTTTTATTTTGCATTTTTGGAATAAACCTTTGTAGTTTCAGAAAACTTGCATTAAAACAGAGGGGCAAAAACTCACCTGCTTCCAATGCTTTGACAGCTCTGACGAATCTTTTGCACTGAATGAATGGCAGAGTGTCTTTAATGTCCTCCGGGTCCACAAGGCTCAGGTCATCTACAGAGAGAACTCCTAATTCCTCCAGTTTAGCCGTGAGTGTATCCATCTGATCGCTACTGAGCGATGGCATTGCTTTCTTGACATAGTTTTTCACAAGTTCCATGTTGGTGTGTGTTTAAGAGGAATGAGCCACCGAGTACCTCTCTGGTAAGAATAAAGTGGATGATAATCATCAAGTTTGTTCAAATCATGGCAACTGAACAGGTCAGAAGCATTTTCATCAAGTTCATAGAGTCCAAGATCAGGTATCCAGCTGGCAGTTTTCCCTCGAAGCAAAAGTAGGACAGTAGTTTCATTTTTTACAAAAATGCTTGCTATTTGTCCTAACTGCAGTAGTCCTTTTGCGTAGCTCAGTAAGACCAGCATTCAATTTGCATATGTAGTGCCTTTAACCTGCACACTCTCTGTGACAACTGAGTTACTTGAGTTCAAATCAAATTCTCCAACCACTGTCTTTATGTTCTGGTCATAGAGCTCTGGATAGAACCGTGTTGAGTCTGAGACATGAACCTGGGAACGAAACAAGGTACCACAAGACTGATAAGCCTGAAGCAACTGGTGCCGTTCAGCCAGAGACTTGGTTACATTTATGAAGTTCTTACTTGCCCTAATGCACCTTTTAAAATAAGAATGTAATGCCTTGTGCATAGGGCTCTGCTCGTATATACTATTCCCAAGAGATGTTACAGTCTCCCTTGGAACACCATACTGCCCCAGTTCACAGGCTAGTGCATCCACAGTATATTCCTGTTGAATATCACTTATAGTTCTCATTTCATTTGCTATTTCTGTTATTGTGGAGGCTGGAACCAAATATTTTGCCTGTAAACCCAAGTAAAACTGAGCAAGACTCTCTGTGAAGTTGTCTTTCACTTGATCACTGCAGAAATTATCACTTTGTTCTGCATCAATGTTAAAACTTTCAGGTTCTTCAGGTTCTACATGTGATCCTTCACCTTGGAAAGACCGTTCTGTTAGTTCACATATATGAACTGGGGCTATCTTGGTAACATCCCACCCTTTATGGTATCTGGAAATATGCGTTAGGGATGACTTTACATTGAATGTCTTAGAACATCCATCAAAGGGACACGTTACAGTCAAACCCTCATCTATGTGACCACTCAAATGACACTTTAAAGTTTTAAGATCATCATATTCACTGCTGCAAAAATTAAACAAGCACCTTAACTGTACAGACACATTACGGTTCCATGTTTGTGTGCTCCTTCTGTCTACATGAGCTCGTGACATATGCACAGCAAGGCTACTGTATGTGTTAAACTTCCTTCTGCAATCCCTATGGCCACATAAAAAAGATACATTATTATTATTTCTGTGTGTTCGGCAGTGTTTCAAGTAATCAGTCGAAGACCGAGCGTTAAAGCCACAAATGTTACAAGTCAACATTTTTAAGAGATTGAATTTGCCAATTGACGGATAGCCAGAATCAGAACAGAATCAATATGAAAACAATAAATTTATATCAGCACAGTGAAGCATATTCACTTTTCAGGTACCTTCAAATAAGTAATCTGCGTTGGGCTGCATGGGCCACTCTCTTTGGGCTGCAATGTTTTCTGCAATGAAATCTGATTCTACTTAACTATCACCCCTTTTAATTATTACCATGTTCAGTTGCATGCTAACGTAACACAGTGAGCTATAACAATACACACATGTGGCTAATTTACACACACACACACACACACAAGCGCGCGCATCCAACTTATGGGCTAACGTTAACTTTAGTTGGGCAAACCACGCTTCAAAATAACGCAAAACCCACACATTCAAATGTTACCATGAAACACACACGGCTACCAACTGACTATCGAGACCAAATTTCATGTAAGAGGGAGGGAAAAAATGGTTTTTGACGTACTTACGAAGCGCAGGCGGCTAGCTAATGCTAACGCAGCTAGCAGCAAACGTCCACTCACATACACACCACTACCAACTGCCTATCGAGACCAATTTAATGTACGAGGGGGAACAAGGTGGCACTCCATTCTCATTCTCATTCCACACAACCAACCTGTTTCCAACTTTCCTTGTGACTTGCAGAAATTTAGGTAGGCACTGACCGCACTGAAAGTAATGGCGTCGGAATATTCTGGCTGGGGGAGAAAATTCTGCCTCGCGCAACAGCAAACTTTCCGTATTTCGCAAAACGGAGCGAATCCGTAGCAAATCCACGGTAAAGGGACCCCTAAATTTACGGATTTTTTTAACAGTGCACTAAAGTGGCCCTCCAATGAGATGACGGTGCCAGCAGTGGCCAGTGGCTCATTTTGAGTTTGAGACCCCTGGTCTAGAGCATCCAGGAGTGAAAGACATGAGCAATGATTTTAGAGAAGCAGCTTTGCTGCTCATCAATCGGGGGACAGTTTTAAGGCTATTTCCAAATAACCTAAAGTACAGAATTCTAAACTGAGAAATAAAAAATTGAAGATAGCGTGGACATTCCAAAAAATTCATCCAATATGAGACTGTGCAAAGATCAGAGACACTTCAAAAACGAACAAAACAAATAACTTGAAAGCTTCATCTTCGACACTGCAGGCCTCAGTTGGCAAATACACTGAATGGATTGTTTGGCAGAGTTGGCAGGAGAACAGTCCCTCTCTACAAAGGCTATAGCATCATGCCTTAGATTTGCAAAGTTGTATCTAAACGAACAATACGATTTCTGGAACAATGTCCATTGGACAGAAAAGAAAAATAATTGCGGGTGTCTGGCCATACTGCACAGCATGGTTGGTGAAACCAGCTCCAGGTCTGGGCAACAGCTTTCAGTCTGTAGATCAGATGGAAGAAACTGTAAAAAAAAAAAAAAAAAAAATGGAATAATTATGTTTTCTGTTATTAATTTTACAGGAAAAGAGTACGTAACAGTAACAACTTCTGTTTAATCACCTGGCAAAATATTTATTACATTTACAGATCAAACGGGACCCACAACAATTGAGAAGAGCAATTACATAAAGTAGGCAGGCGATGTAAATGTTCTTTTATGTCTTTAAGCTTAACCTAGAATTTACTTACAGGTGCATCCTCATTGAGAATACTGTATTAAAAACATGGTTAGCGACAAGACTGACATATATTCAAATAATGTTTGTGGAAATGCACAAAACAGTAATAAAGTAAGTCCAAAATCTTGTCGCATACACTCTTAATCTGGCATATCAGATCCAGAGCTTTGTGAACTGTGTGCTGGTTGAAGCCAGAAGCCTTGGCAGAACACAGGGACACAGGGAAGTGGTGAGCCTTCACTTCCACTTCCTCCTTAAGAATGACTTGGTGACTTTCTATATCTGACATGTGGCTCTAGTCTCAGCTGCGATGCATTTAAGCATCGCAGCTAATTTTGGGATGCTTTTGCATTTATGTTGAAAAAGAATCAACAACAAGAAATCAATTTTTCAAGTGTTATATGACATAAAGCAGCCATATCATACTTTCAAATATTGCCCAACTAAGTACTTTGGGTCTACCTAAAGTAAGGTTCTTTAATGTCCTCCGGAGAGGTTTTAGTTCTTTTCAAAGATTTGGTTCTTTTTGGTCTGCTCCCTTTGAAGAGCCAGCTGGCACAGCTCTCAAATGGCTCTTCATTTAGTATCTCTCAGCGCCTTCAAATACAAAGGATGCATGTGTGACATGCTTATTCAGTGTTTTCATAAATGTCTTACTTTTTGCATTTGCTACTGCTGGTAAGAATAGATATGGTGTTTAAAGATTGGACAAATGTTGTTAGCCATTTTCCATTTTGGAGGAGTAATTGGCTCCTTACCCAGTTTCTCATTAACACTTATCCGTTTGCCTTGGGTCATTTGTTTTGGAATAAATGCACCCATTTTCCTAAATGTACAATTATTGAATTGCTGAAGGCCAGTGTATACCTGCAGTTTTCGGCAAGACAATGGATACTATAGAAGTACTCAAAATGGGAAACTGCTCTAGGGTCAGTGGCTGGAGGAAAAGGGCAGATCTCCTCCAGCTGTATGGACAAGTGAGTGTATATGTTTATTGTTGACCCTGCTCTGATTGATATTTTCAGTTTGTACATTTTGCACTCAGTTTTGCAGTCTTTTTCCTTTCTGCAACAACAGAAGGACAATGTTTTTGAATTGCAGCCAGTTGTTCCTACTTTCTATTCTCTTAACTTTCTCCTAACGTGGCTGAATTTAAATCCAGGTCCCCAGCTCTCTGTGCTTACCTGGCCTCTACCACTACACTACCTGCATGGATTCTCCACAGAGCTGGCTCACCTCAACGGGAGTCGGCTCTTCTCACACGCTGCAACAACAGAATGGCACATCACTATTTTATGAACCCACATTGAACTTGAACTTGAAGTAAAGAAGTGGGGAGAAAAAATAAGAAGAAAAAGTGAGAGCAACTGACACAGGCTGCATTCTGGTTGATGCACAAGCACTTACCAGAAAAGAAGAAAAGAAGACAGAGAAATGACACAATATTGGAAAGCACCAGAGTTTAAGAATAACTAATCATGGTAAGCCCATCAGCAGCCTATAGTAGCATAACT